TACCTTTTAAATTTAATTAAATCACATAATTAATAAAGAATTTTTTATATATTTTTTATTTTTCTCATTAATTATTATGAAAATAATTTCCTAACTTCAGTTTTTAGGGTACATGTTAAAATTATAATAAGTATATTTTTTGTCATAAATTTATATTAGAAGAATAAATGTTGATATTTAATTTATCAATTTTCTACTTAAATTCATCAATGTGACAATGATATTAAAATTAATATCAATTTTTACATTTTTTATATAAATTAATAACAAAAAGATGTACTTAAAAGAAAAAAATCAAAATATCTTGGTATTTTAAATATTAAAACTTCTTATAAAATTATTTAAATGCCCTTAATAAACATTTTTTTTTATTTACTAAAGGTATTTTAATCTTTTTATTATCATTTCTAGTATTTTAATTTCATTTCAAAATTTTTTAAAAGACAATTAAAATGCTAAAAATGAAAATGAAAAGATTAAACTACCTTTAGTAAATCAATAGAAAAAAAACATTTATGAAAGATATTTAAATAATTTTACAATGAATCTTAACATTTAAAGTACCAAGACATCCTAATTTGTGCCCTAAAAAACACATTTTTGTCATTAATTTATATTGAAAAATGTAAAAACTAACATTAATTTTAATATCATTTGTCATGTTGATAAATTAAAAGTTAACATTTATTCTCCTAATATAAATTTATAATGAAAAAAATATATTTATTATACCTTTAATATGTATCCAAGAGTAGAGATTAGAAAAACTTTTTATAATACTCCATCTATTCATTTTTAGTAGACTTAGTTTTCTTATCTAATAAAATAAAAATGTTATAATTTATTGATAAAATTTCATATTTATATCTAATTAAATACCACTTAATAAGATTTACTATTTAATGTAAGTTGTAATTATCTTTTTTTAAATGAAGGTAAATTCGGGATAAATATATAAAATTAGATTCTAAAAATGAAAAGTGAATAATTAAACTTGAACACACTAAATAGGAAATTAAATCTGCTAAATTTGAAAAAAAAATGAAATTAATGAGAAAAATAAGGAATATGTTCAAAAAATTCTTTATTGATTAGGTAGTTTAATTAAATTTAAGAAATAATTTATAAAAATTATTAAAGTAAAATATATTATTACTTAAGCTAAAAAATATATCAATATTTTATTAAAAAATACCTAAAGATATGTATATTATACAATATTAATTAATTAA